CCACGAAAAGATACCTCTACACACCTATTAGAATGGCTGAAATAAATATTCAGTGCTGGCAGGATGCAGAGGACTGGAACTCTCATACATTGCTAGTGGAAATGCAAAATGGTCCAGTTTCTTTAGAAAATAGTTGGCAATTTCTTATACAGTTAACCATATACTTACCAAATGACTCAGCAACCCATTCCTAGGCATTCCTAGGCACTCAGCCCATTTCTAGGCATTTACCCAAAAGAAATTAAGACTTAAATTCGCACAAAAACCTGTATGCAAATACTGACAGTGGTTTTATTCATAACTGCCAATCCTTGGAAACAAACCAAATGTCCTTCAACAGGTAAATGGATAAACAAAGTGTACAACTCAACTCAGCAATGAAAAGGGACACACATCTTGGATGAATCTCAGATGCATTATGCTAAGTGAAAGAAGACAGACTCAATGATTCCATTTGTATGACGTGCTTGAAAAGGCAGAAGTATAGGGGCAGAAAACAGATCAGTGGCTAGCAGGTGCTGCTGGAGAGGGTAGAACTGAAGGAATTTTTCTGGGGTGATAGAAACGTTTGAATGTTTGATATCTTGATCGTGGAGATGGCTATATGACTATATGCATTTGTCAAAAATCACAGATCTAGAGATTATTTTTGATGAATTATACTTCAATGAAAAATATATTAAAAAGAACAGTTTTGAGGAGCTGGCCCCGTGGCCAAGTAGGTAAGTTCGTGCACTCGGCTTCAGCAGCCCTGGGTTTCGCGGGTTTGGATCCTGGACACGGATATGGCACCGCACATTAGGCCACGCTGAGGCGGTGCCTCACATGTCACAACTAGAAGTACCCACAACTAAAATATACAACTATGTACTGTGGGGATTTGGGGATAAAAAGCAGAAAAAGAAAGATTGGCAACAGTTGTTAGCTCAGGTGCCAATCTTTAAAAAGAAAAAAACAAAAAGAATAGCTTTGAGCAATACGTAGCAACACTGATAGCATTTACAACATATTGTTACCAAAAGAATGACAAAATAAGACATATACTATGAGCTCATCTATGTAAAATCAGATAAGATAAATTCCAGTAGATGATAATCACAATTGTGTTAGGATTATTTTTTCCCTTCAATTTTCAAACTTTCAGCAACTCGTTTATTTTGGTTTGGTAATAATGAAATATAGTAACCAATTCATGACAGATGTAAAAATTTGTCTTTCAATAATTTATCTTAATTATTTTTCACATATTCTCTCAAATTTGTTTCCCCCATCCAACCTGCCACTAAATACAATACTGCTAAATGGAAAACTGAAAGGTAATTAGCTGATTTTGAAATGGCAAATTTTAAGGTCAATCCGTTCCTGATTTCTGGAAATAATGAGAAAAATAAATTTCATTTTCCACTAATTAGAAATAAGTTTTCCTACACAATCTTGCCAAAGAAGAATAAATATGTAACTTAAGTTCTTCAGTCTAACAACCAATTACACTTAAGTACATCTATTAGTTCTTGTGTGTTATTTTAAGATAAAAAGGGGCATCAATTCAAAATTTTATGAGATTTGAGGTTCAAATCATGCTATATTTAATTAGGCTAAAGGAATGAGAAAGAGGGTGCAGAAATAGGGGAGACTGTGTGAAAGGCTGTTTACTTTTTCTATGAAGAAAACTAGCATATTAGACCAAAAAAATCATCTTTAATTTGGCAATGTTGTTTGTTCCATGTCATTACAACAGTATGAACAGTGTATTCCTCTAACTTTGGGGCCTCATGTAGCAAACAGGTCCTAGCTAGGACAGGTTCTCAGCTAGGACAGATGCTGAGCAGCCCTGAGAAGCATCCAACAGAGTTCTGAGATTGATTATTCCCTCTGTTATACTCTCTGTTATAGGATCATTGTTAAAAGACGGTAAAATCATGACTCTCATACGGATATAAAATGAACAAATATCAAATATTTTATTTAATTCATTAATTAGAGGAAATCAATAAGATGTCTTCCAAGCAGGCACGGTGCAGAACCAGGACCTGAGAAGGTCGCCCCACCACCTAGCCCCCACCACCTGGCTGGCAGGGCTGCTATGGGCACAGCTGTGGCCAGCCTCCTTGGCCCACACGAGCCCTAGTCTCCAGAGAGGAGCATGTCCTGAGCAATGGGTGGCCAGATTTAGCAAATAAAAATACAGGGTGGCCAGGTAAATTTGGTGTCAGATAAACTACAAGTCATTTTTCAGTATCAGCATTTCCCCCCAATTATTCATTATTTATCTGAAATTCACATTTACATCCTGTATTCTATCTAGTGACTCTCAAAGTACAAGGTGCCACTCTGACCCTGGGTCTGCTGGTAGGATGTTAGCAGACATTAGGTATCAGAGGCTCATGATGGGCTTCCCCTCTCCCTTGATGGGGCCTGAGGAATGATAAGAGGCAGGTGGCCCATGGGGCCCCTATGTCAACCAGCAGCCATCCCACCCTTGCACAGGCAGGCCAGCCAGGAGGAGTGGAACTACCCAGCCCACGACCCATATGATGAAGTTTGTGTTTGGGTACTGCACCATCACTGTGGCAAGAGATGACTGAGGGACCAAGTAAACACAGCACCTAGGGAAGGTCTCTAGGCCCAGCTTCCCTGCAGTCTGCCCTAAGCCATTCCTACGTGGAAATTCTGGAACCACTCCCTCAACTTCCAAGAGTGCCTTAAATACTTCATGCATTTCAGACCTAAAATTTTTATCAAAAACTTTAGTGGGTTTTTTTAATTATTTTTTAAAGGCAGGAAAGAAGGAAGGAGGAAGCGAGGGAGGGAAAGGAGATTTAAAAATAAATTCCAGGTAGGTAAAGGAGCTAAATCTAAAGAGCAAAAAGTTTAAAACTTTTAGAAAATACAATTTTTTATGAAATCAGAGAGAAAATGGAGTTCTTAAGAATTATACCACCCAACAAAAAAGCATGAAACTATGAAAGATTTATAAATCTGGTCATATTAAATACTTCTATTTTTTTAAAAAAACAATAAATGGAAGGATGAGCTTCTGGCTGGGATAAGACCCTGCAACACAGAAGAGGGCTAATCACAGAATTTGTTTTTTTTTTTTTTTTTGAGGAAGATTAGCCCTGAGCTAACTACTGCCAATCCTCCTCTTTTTGCCGAGGAAGACTGGCCCTGAGCTAACATCCATGCCCATCTTCCTCTACTTTACATGTGGGACGCCTACCACAGCATGGCTTTTGCCAAGCAGTGCCATGTCCGCACCCAGGATCCAAACTGGTGAACCCTGGGCCGCTAAGAAGCGGAACGTGCAAACTTAACTGCACCACCAGGCCGGCCCCCAGAATTTTTTTTTAAAACTGCAACATGGTGAAAAAAATATAAACCCATTAGAAACATGAGCAAAAGGTATGAGATGGCACACTACAAAAAACAAACCCAAACGTCTAACAGACATGTGGGAAGGTCAGCTCTGCTGGTCAACAAGGGAATGCAAATCAGGACAATCGCGACACAACACACCATGTGCATCACATCTTCCCAGGTTGAAGTCCCCAGTACTAAATGTCGGGAAGGTGCTGAAACCCTCCCCTGCTAGTGGGATGGTAAATAGATACAATTACCAATCTGTAGCATCTAGTAAATTTCAGGGTGCACATATTTCATGAACCAACAATTCCATTCTCAAGTAGAGACATACTCCAAAGAACCCCCTACTTGTACCCTAGAAAGCCCATATGAGAAAGTTTGTTGTGGGCCATTTTTAATAGCAAAATACTGAAAGGAGAAACTGAATAGCCACTGACAGGAGAAAATACATAAATTATGGCATATTCATATACTGACATTTTATGCAGGCAGTCAAAATGCATTAATAATAACTATAGGCACCCACATAGATAAATCTGAAAAACATGGACAAAAAGAGCAACTCAAAGTTTCACCATTTGCAAAACAAGAGCATATACTATTTAGTGATACATAAATACGCAGTAAAAGTATGAACATGTGCATTGGTGAGATGGATAGCAAATCAGGATAAGTCTTACCTTAGAGAAGAGGAGGAGATAGGGTTATAGCAAGTGGCGGCATCATCTGCCACACTGTGTGCATTTCTGAGATACTCTGTGTTTTACAATGATAGACTGTCAGTACTGAGCAAATCAGGCTTCTGACTGAACAACTGCACAGAGCAGGACTTACCAGCTGCGGGGATGAGGGCACCCAGATCTTCAGGGTATCGAAATGTTCCTACATGGACATGCATAGACGCTCACTCACAGGATGCTACTTTTATGTCTATTTATTATTTTTACATCGGTAAATATTTAAGAGTTTATCAAAAGGTTTTCATTTTTATGTAAATCCAGAGTTCTCTGACGTGAAAAACAATACTCAATTGATTTACGACATATTTATAGGAATTAAATATGTTTTAAGATACATATATATGCTTTTAAAAATCATGTAATACTTTTCTCTTCTTTTTTTTTTTTTGAGGAAGATTAGCCCTGAGCTAACATCTGCCACCAGTCCTCCTCTTTTTTTTGCTGAGGCAGCCTGGCCCTGAGCTAGCATCCGTGCCCATCTTCCTCTACTTTATATCGGGGATGTCTACTACAGCATGGCCTGACAAGCAATGCGCAGGTCTGCACCCAAGATCCGAACCAGCAAACCCCCGGCTGCCAAAGCAGAACAGGGGAACTCAACCGCTGCACCACCAGGCCAGCCCCATGTAATACTTCTAATGCCTTAAATAATATAGTAAATGCTAAGTCTTTATGCTAAAACCTCTCTTTTATATTTTTATTATCTTTTGGAGTTATGTTAGCCACATTTTAGAAATAGCATTTATTCAAAACAGGCCAGGAAAGTGACCTAATGCTGGAAAGATTCTGGAAAAATTTTTGGAAATTTTTTCCACCAAAAATGTGGGGGAACTATGCTCATGGAAATCCAATACTTGTGAATTCCACATTTACAAGATAAAACTATTTTAAACTCACCTCCCCTCTGTGAGGAATGGGCCAAGTTCCTGATCCACAGGAGCCCAGTGGCTCCACCTGGCTGCCCTGCTGGAGCAGGGGCTTGGGGGGTCTGCCCTGCTGACTCCCGGCTGTGGCCTGCAGTTGCTCATGACGTGTCTCACCAGCCCTGGCCCTCCCAGGCCAGCACAGGTGGGAGCAGACGTCTGATGTAGTTCCATTTCCAGTGTGCCGGAGGTCAGCCCGCCGTCTTTGCTCTCTAGATGCATGGTCTGTTTCCACTCTTCTCACTAGAGTCAGCCAAAAAGAAACCACCATTGATTGAAAACAAACTGGGAATATCATTTGCACCCTGGGGAGTCCATACTACTGAATGGTACCATAGAAAGGCCTCTTATAACTAGGCCCTTCCAGTGTTCCAACATTCTAATATCATACAGGAAACAAAGTATGCTCACCTCCAAGGATGAATATTCTAGCACATTTCATACTAGTCATGACCTAAGTATTCAACAACAGAGTATTAGTTAAGAAAGTTGTGATATGTGCATAGCATGAAATACTATGAAATCAGAAAAATGCTCTAAAAGAATATTGACTGATATTGGGAAATGTTAAGGATATGGGAAAACAATTGATATATTAGGATATTCTTCTTGAACTAAATAAGTATGTATTGTATGCACAGAACAGAAAAACAAAAAGAAACAGACTCCAAAACATGGCTACCTCCAGAGGGTGGAGATACAGATGATTGGGACTTTCCCCTTTGTCTCTGTCTACGCTATGATTTTAATGATTTTTGCTTCTAGCAAATTAATACTTTTGTAACAAGAAAACAATAATATCTATTATAAAAATGAGAAAAACTACTATACTTATAAGGTTATGGTGTCCTAATTTTTGGATTTCATTTTAAACCATCACCATTTTATTTTTTATCTTTGGCAGCATCCCACAACTTTAATTTGCAGCAGCCTGGTTTGTTATCAAGGGTTGCTGTGAAGCCAAGAATTACTGTGAGCCTTGCTTGAGTAGGATTTGCAGCATTGAGAACACTGCCCACGCTTGTGGGTGGAGTGAGTAAAATTTGTGGGTCCACCACTCCTTGTCACCCAATCCACATAGAGGCTGTAAATGCCCCAGGATCACAAATTCTGGAGAACCTGGGATGTATACAAGTTCAAAGCAAGTACAAGGTAAGTGTGTTATGGGTACAGCTGAGTAAGTGGGGGCACTGAGAGCCCAAGAAGCCACACTTTCTGGTGAAACCAGAATTTACTCCAAATACAGAAAGGCAATGGCATTTGAAGAAACCCAAATGAGCAATAAAGTCTTACTACTTCCTCACTATTATGATTTCCCTACTTTAACCCATCAGTTGTGTTGAAAATGATGACTTACTCATCAGTAAGCAGAAGGCAGAGAGTGTTGGTAGAATATGATTGTATCATAAAGTGAAATAAAAACATCTGAGTTAGTTTTATGAAATTCCACATAGAAATTAAACATTCTCATATCTGCATTTTAAACGGACATTGCAGAATATAAAATGAGCAATAAAATTCATACTAATAATTTAAATTTTTAAATTTTTCTCAGTATAGGCAGGTTTCAACCAAAAATCACCTGTCACAGTGATAACCAGGAAAATCTCAACTTGAAAGAAAATAGATGACAACACTGAGATGACAAAGATGTTAGAATTATCTGACAAAGATTTCTAAGGCGGTCAAAATAAAAATTCTTCAACAAGCAAGAACAGACACACTTGAAACAAATGAAAAAAATAAAAGTCTCAACAAATAAATGGGAAGCCTCAGCAAAGAAGAGCCAAATGGAACTGAAAAACACAATAGCAAAATCAAAAACTCAATAGATGGGCTCAATAGCAAAACGAAAAGAATTGATGAAGATAGAACAATAGAAATTACGCAATCTGAATAACAGAGAAAAAAAATTAACAGACCCTCAGAGACATGTGAGACTATAAAAGAAGATCTAACATTCATGTAATCAGATTCTCAGAAGGAGAAGAGAAGTACTATGTAGCTAAAAAAGTATTTGAAGAAACAACAGCTGAAAACTTCCCAAAATTGGCAAAATGGAGAAGCTAAGTGAATCCAAAAGACGATAAATCTAAAGAAACCCACACCAAGACATATCATTGTTAAACTTTTTAAAACTAAAGACTTGAAACCAGTAAGAGAGAAATGACAATGTACCTCTAGGAAAAAACCAATTCAAAAAAAGAAACCATGGAGGCCAGAAGTGGCACAATATTTTTCAAGAAATGAAAGAAAAGAACTGTCAACCTAGAATTCTCTATCTAGTGAAGAATGAATCTTTCAGGAATGAAAGGGAAATCCTGACATTCTTAGATGAAAGAAAACTGAGATAATTTGTTGCCAGCAGACCTAACCTAAAAGAATGGCTAAAGAACATTCTCTAAACAGAAAGGAAAAGATAAAAGAAAGAATTTGGGAACATCAAGAAGGTAAAAAGAACAATGGAAACAAGAAAAGTATGGGTAAACACAATACATTTTTCCCTCTCCTCTTGAATTTTTTAAGTTATGTTTGATGTTTGAAGCAAAAATTATAACACTCTCTGATGTGATTATCAACACATGTAAAGGAACCATTTAAGACAATCTTATCACAAATAGGACAGACAAAAGGATGTAGAGGGAGGTAGATTTTACTCAAACTGATAAAATGATGACACCAGTACTGTGACAAGTAATGTATATATAACAATGTCTAGAGCAACCACTTTAAAAAGTTATAAAAGAGAAACACTCAAAAATACTATAGATAAATCAAAATGGAATTGTAAAATATGTTCAACTACCCCACAGCCATAACATATCAAAATTGCATTGAATAGAAATGGTCTGAATACAACAATTAAAAAACAGAGATTAGGGGGCCGGCCCACTGGCACAGCAGTTAAATTCGCACGTTCCGCTTCAGCAGCCTGGGGTTCACCAGTTCAGATCCTGGGTGCGGACACAGCACCACTTGGCACACCATGCTGTGGTAGGCATCCCACATATAAAAAAGTAGACGAAGATGGGCATGGATGTTAGCTCAGGGCCAGTCTTCCTCAGCAAAAAGAGGAGGATTGGCAGCAGTTAGCTCAGGGCTAATCTTCCTTAAAGAAAGAAAAAAAACCCAAAGGTTAGCAGAGTGGATTCAAAAACATTACTCAACTATGTGCAGTCTAGAAGAAACTCACTTCAAAAACAATAATATAGGTAGGCTTAAAAGTAAAAGGATATATTATTCAAGCATTAATACAAAGAAAGCACACGTGGCTGTATTGCTAGAAGATACAATATACTTCAGAGCAAAGAGAATTACTAGGGACAAAGAGAGACATCATATAGTGATAAAAGGGTCAATTTGCCAAGAAGATATAGAAATCTTAAGTGTGAATGCACCTAACAACACAATTGGAAAATATGTGATGCAAAAACTAATAAAACTGAAAGGAGAAAGAGACATGTTGAGTTCTATAGTTGGAGACTTCAACATTTCCCTCTCAGCAATTGACAGGACAACTAGATAGAAAATGAGCACTGATATAGAAGAAATGAACAACACCAACAACCAAGAGAATCTAATTGATATTTATGGAACACTCCACCCAACAACATCAGAACATTCTTTATAAGTGCCTACAGAATATATACCAAGATAGACCACACCTTGGGCCATAAGGCAAATCTCAACAAATTTGAAAGAACTGAAATCATACAGAGTGTGTTCTACCGACACAATGGAATCAAATTAAGGATTAATAACAGAAAGACAGGCAGAATATCTACACACTTGGAAATTAAACAACACACTTCTAAATAATCTAGGAGTCAAAGAGGAAGTCTCAAGGGAAATCAAAATTATATCAAACTGAGTAAAAATGATAATACAACATATAAAAATTTAGAGAACACAGCTAAAGCTGTCATGAGAGGGAAATTTATAGCACTAAAATGCTCACATTAGAAAGGACAAAAGTCTCAAATAAATAATTTAAGCTTTCATCTGAATAATCTAGAGAAAAAGACCAAAATAAACCTAAAGCAAGCAGAAATAAGAATATAACAAACATAAGAGGAAAATTCAATGAAATAGACAACAAAAAAAAAAAAAACAAAGAAAATCAATGAAACAAAAAGCTGGTTTTTTGAAAACATCAATAGAATTAACAAACCTCTAGTATGACTGACAAAGAAAAAAACGGAGAATACAAATTCCCAGTATCAGGAATGAAACAGGGAACATCACTACAGACCCTGCAGACATTAAAAGAATAGTAATGGAACAACTCTACACACAAAAATTTGACGACTTAGATGAAAAGGAACCACTCCTCAAAAAGCACAAATTAATGCAACTCACCCAATATAAAGTAGACAGTTTGAATAGCCCTGTAACTACTCAGAAAATTTAATTTGAATTTTTAAGTTCCCAAAAAAGGAAATCTCCAGGCCCAGACTGTTTCACTGGAAAATTCTACCAAACATTTAAAGAAGAATTAACACCAATTCTACCCAGTCTCTTCCAGAAAATAGAAGATACCTTTCCCAATTAATTTTATGAGGCCAGTATTACCCTGACACCAAAATCAGATAGAGACAATACAAAAAAAGAAAACTACAAAACAATATCTTGATGAATATGATGCAAAAATCCATAACAAAATATTAATAAAGGAAATTCAGCAATATATAAAGAAGAATTATTACCATGCCCAAATAAAGTTTATTCTAGGGATGCAAGCCTGGTTCAGCATTCACAAATTAATCAGTGTTAAAGGTAGAGTTACCATATGAACTAGTAATTCCACTTCTAGGTATATACCCAAGAGAAATGGAAATACATGTCCACACAAAAACTCGTACATCAATATTCATTAAAGCATTATTCACAATAATAAAAAAGTGGAAACAATCCAAATGTCCATCACTGATTAATTGATAAAATGAGATATACCCAAATAATGAAATATTTTAACACAATAAAAAAGTAATAGTGTACTGATATATGCTACAACATGGATGAACTTTGAAAAGATTAAGTGAAAGTAGCCAATCGCAAAAGAGCAAATATTGCTTGATTCCATTTATATATGAAATCTTCAAAAGAGGTAAATCTATAGAGACAAAAAGTAGAATACTGGTTGTCTAGGGTGGAGGGAAGAAGGCATGGTCTAAGGGAAATAAGCAGGCACTGCTGAAGTGTATGCGGTTTCATTTTTGGTTGGTGGAAATATTCTAAAATTAATTTAGGGGATGGGCACACAATTCAGTAAATATACGAAAAACCAGTGAAACATACTCCACAAATGGGTGAAGTGTATGGTATCTTAATTATCTCAATAAAGCTAATAAAAACATCAATCAATATAATCTATCATATTAACAGGCTAAAGCAGAAATATCACATGATCATATTAATTGATGCAGAAAAAGCATCTGACAAAATTAAACACCCATTCATGATAAAAACTCAAGAAAAACAGGAATATAGAACTTCCTCAACCTGATAAAGAATAGCTACAAAAATCTATAGCTAACATCATACTTGATGAGAAACCTGAAGCTTTCCTGCTAAGATCAGGAACAAGCCAAGGATGTCCACTCTCACCACTCCTATTAAATATAGTTCTAGAAGTTCTAACCAGTGCAATAGGGCAGGAAAAGGAAATAAAAGCATAGAGAACAGAAAGGAAGAGGTAAAACTGTTCCAATTTGCAGATGGTATGATTTTCTATGTGAAAAATTCCAAGTAATCTACAAAAAAATTCTAGAACTCATGGAACTAAAAAGTTCAGCAAGGTTATAGAATACAAGATTAATATTTTAAAATCTCTAATAGTTCTATATACTACCAATGAATGTGCTGACATCCAAATTAAAAATACAGTATCATTTATATTTTCTAAAAAACTAAATAATTAGGTATACATCTAATATGCTGTATTACTGCATATGTAGGTATACATTCATATGCTGGAAACTACACAAAGCTGATGAAAGAAATCAAAGAAGATCTAAGTAAGTAGAGAGAGAAATTGTATTCATGGATTAGAAGACAACATAGTCAAGATATTGAGTCTCCCCAAATTGATATACAGGTTTAATGCAACGCCTATCAAAATTCCACCAAGAACTTTTGTAGATATAAACAAGATTATTCTAAAATTTATATGGAAAAGCAAACAACCTAGAAAAACTAAAGCAGTTTTGAAAAAAATTAAAATGGGAGGAACCAATCTACCCAATTGCAAGACTTACTCTATAGCTACAGTAACCAAGTGTGTGGTGTGGGCAGGGAAAAACATACATGGATCAATGGAACAGAACAAAGAACCCAGAAACAGACCCACACAAATATGCCCAGTGGATTTTGACTAAGGTGCAAAAGCAATTCAATCTAAGAACATCAGCCTGTTCAACAAGTGGTGCTGGAGCAAGTGGACATCCATTGGCAAAAAAATAAAAAAAGAAGAACCACACATGGACAATGGGCCCAGAAGAGCCTGCTCTCACAAGGAAGTGCCTCCACACACCCCACGAGGCAGGACAACTGGAAACAATGACAAAAGTCAGACCAGCAAGCTCCCACAAGTGCTAACCAGAGACTTGGTCTATGGGGTCTCTTCTCGTATTTCCAGTATATGAGAAGTTGGAACAGTCTCAGAGCCACACCCTGGCTGGTTCCCTCCTCCACAGGCCGCCTCCTTCTGAACCTCCAGTCTCTAGGTTATCCTCCCCACCTCTGGCCTCTCATGTCTCCATTGCAGGCCCACCTCCCCACAGCTCAGTTAAAAGGCCCTTCTCTTCTCCCCTCTCTCAAGAGGCCTCGATCTCACCCATGGACAAGTGACCCCCAGGCTCCCCTCTGCAGCCCAGACCACTGTGTCCAGCTGCCTTTTTGTCTCCCCTGATGTCTCAAAGGTACTCAAATGCCCTGGCAGATGTCTGAGGCTACTTCTGGCCCTTCCCCAGGATCCTGTGACTAATCCCACCATCCATCCAGGTGCATTCATCCACAAACCTGGAGCCCTCCTGACAACCGCCTTCTCCCTGCAAACCCCTCCCCAATCAAGTGCCCCCTGTCCTGGCCATGCAGCCACCTCTTAGTGGGCAGGACTCAGGAGTGGCTTTCTCAAGCCCCCAATCTGCTCCCAACCACAGTGATCTTTCCAAAACGCACATCTGACCACATGGCCACAGGCTTAAAACCTTTCCCAGGTGTTCCAGGTGTGAGCACTGCTGGGTCTCCAGCAGCAGCCAGGACATCCCTCTCCCCCATAATTCCTGATGTCCTCAGACCTCAGCTAACCCCAAAGACCTACTCAAAGAACAAGAACAGAATCAAGATTTGCTTTTCATTAGTGTAATAAAACTTTAGGAATTTATGTCCCTAGATCACTACCACTTTGCACCTGATGTGAAGTGCACTCAAGTGTTTATAAATTAAATTTGCAATAACAAGCAGTTTTCATGCAATCCTTTACAGTTTACCTAGAGCTTTCACCTCTGTTGTTTCTAATAAGATTTAATCTTCATTAGCAATTATGTGACAGTTGGTATCACCAGATGCATTCAAGCTCCGGCACCCCTAGACAGACAGGCCCTGCCCCACATGCCCACCAGAGACAAGAAAACCTCAAGGATAGCACTTCCTAGGTGGTTGAGGTTATAATGGACTGCCTTGTATTCAGGAGATAGCAGCTGCCCACACTGCTAACAGCCTCCTGTTTCCTTTCCCTCAGAATCACTACACGTTACGGAGTTGTCACATCCCCTGAGTCCCTGCTCAGAGGATCCCCTGGGGAACTTCACAAGCAGCCAGGCCCTTTTCCTCGTGAGTGCCGGGCACCCTGCGTCCCTGCGCAGGCCTGGGTCTGTAAACCCAAGAACGTCCACACCTGGGGACGCCTGTGCCTAATGTCCATGTCCTCGGAAAGAGCTGGCAACTTCAAATCCTTTATTCACCGTATGTGACAGAGTGAGGAACAGGGCTCTGGGGATTGAATGTTTTCGCCCCGCGCATTCCATTCCGCAGAACGCCTGACCAGCTCACGTGTGCGCGGCAGGGAGCAGATGCCGCGCTGCAGCTCAAGCAGAACATTCTCCGTGTGAGCGCCTCCAAATCCCCAGTCCCGCGGCCCACCCGCCCTGTCCTGGGACCCGCCTCCCAGCGCGCCGCTCCAGTAAACCCAGACAACGCTCACTGTGGCACTGGGCGCCCGGTGCTCACACCAGACACTCGGTCTTACACGTATTTGCACATTCTCCTTGCTCTATAAGCAACAGTTCAGCACAAGCTTGTTAAAACCCTACCTGCCCCCAAAATAGGTTAGCTCCTCACTCCTCCCTCCCGACTAACCTGAAGACTTGAACTTTCGCCAAGAGTGAAGTCTAAGGCCCAAGCAGAGAGCTCTGACCGGTGAATGGAGCGCAACCCTCCAGTCAGGACAGTGTGCAGGCTCTCGGGCGCTGGGGTGCGCGAGGCAGGGCCGGTGGGGCGCGGCGCTCGAGCTGGCCACGCCCACATACGTCACCGCGGGCACGCCCCCCAAGGCGGCAGGCAGGACCAGGAGAAAGGCTCTCCCCGCCTGGCCACGCCCACATACGTCACTACGGGCGCGCCCCCAGGGCATCCCGCGAGACCCGGAGGAGGACGCCTCCGCGCTCAAAGCCTGAAGAGAGCCGTGAGGAAAGCGGGACAAGGCTCCTGGTGAAAGGCCAGACCCATCTCAGTGCCTTCTCCGAGAGCTGGACGATAATCTCCGCTCGCTGTGCCCATTTCAAGCTCTGCTTTATGGAAGGTAGCCAAAGTGTTGTAACACATTTTTCCCTATGAACAAGAATTGAGGAAACGTAACTGAGTGAATATTCTGCTTACTTTTGCCTGGTTCTGCATTTTAAGAGTTCTCTGCTAGAGCTGATAAAGCTGACCAGGGTTCCCCTTATTCTCATTGCCTGGTTCCACCTCCAGCCTAGGGCTGTCGCCCAGGTTACACTTGTGCAAAGTGGTGTCTCTCATACGCACACACAGATATGCACAGACCTCACACAGACACATAAACACAAACACAAACTACACACAGACACATTCATATACAGATATACACATGCATGGACACACACACACTGACACGCAAACATGCAAGGAACACAAGGAAATACAAACGACCCACACAGAGACACATAAACTGTACACAGACGCAGCCATAGACACACACACTCAGGCACATAAATTACACAGACACACAAACACACACACCATAGAGACTACGCATGGCCAGTTTCCTCTGCCTCTTGGCCAAGGTCAGAGAGTGACCTGAGAAAGAGAAAAAATCAAATGCAGATTCACATGGGGTCCCTTTATCTACTGCTGTAACAACCCCCTCCTCAAGTTTAGTGACAAAAATAGTGACCATTTATCATGCCCTTAGATACTGTGGGTCTGGAATTCAGAAAGGCACAGTGGAAACAGCTAATCTGCACCCCAGGACAGTCATAGTGGCACAAGGCAGGAAGAGCCCTGAGTGTGGAGGCTGGAATCACCTGGAGGTGCACTCCCTCACTTCTGGAGTGGGTCTGCTGGCCTTGCCACATAGACTGCACCCTGACTCTTGGACTTCCTCAGAGCATGGTGGCTGGGACCCAAGAGATAGGAAGTGGAAGCCGCTAGTTCCTTGAGGACTGAACCCAGGACGGGCAGGTGTCACTTCTGCCATATTCCATTGACCAAGCAGTCACAGAGGCCGGGTTCAAGGGGAAGGACACAGCCCCCAGTTCTTGATGGAAGGAATGTCAGAGAATGTTAGAGCCATGTTTTAAATCATCACAGATTGTACCCTAGCCAAGGATGCAGCAACTGAACAATGAAAGCACAATGCAAGCAATGGGAGGAATTACACACTTAAATTACACACTTTAAAGTCATTTTAAAATATAATGATCTGTGGAGCAATAGGAACTCTCATTCAGTGCTGGTGGGAACGCAAAATGGTACAGGCACTTTGGAAGAAAACTTGGCAGTTCCTTACAAAACTAAACATACTCTTACCTTAGCATCCAGAAATTTTTCTCCTTGGTATTTACCCAAAGGAATTTAAAACATGTTCACACAAAAACATGTACATGGATGTTTATAGCAGCTTTATGCATAATTGCTAAAACCTGAAAGCAACCAAGATGTTCTTCAGTAGGTGAATGGATAAATAGACTGGGATACAACCAGACAATGGAATATGATTCAGCACTAAAAAGAAATGAGCTATCAAGCCATGAAAAGACGTGGAGGGACCTTAAAGACATGCTAACGTGAAAGAAGCCAGTCTGAAAAGCCTACATACTGTGTAATTCTGTCACCGAACACAAACAGATTCTTTTACCTGCCACACAAGAGGGGCCAAAAATAAAAAAATAAAAACCTGGAACACCAGGCTTATAGAAAGGAAAAGGGCTTTTATTATCAAAAGGCAGCCAGATGAGGAGATGGGAGCTAAAACTCAAATCCACCTCCTTGAAGAGAAAAAGGTAGGGGTTTTTACTTGGGGTCTTAGGTTGGGGAGGGAGAACATGTGGCCTTGTTGGTTGGTGCCTTCCCACCAACCTGCTTTTGGCCTTGTTAGGCTGCTTGCACGGAGGGGGATGGCGGGGTTGTGGGAAGGGAGTGCAGGAGGGAGGGATGAAAAGATAGAGTACAGAGGATTTTTACCACAGTGAAACTATTCGGTGTGATACTACAATGATGAATAGACATCATCATCTATTTGCCCTAAGCCCATAGAATGTGCATCACCAAGAGTGAGCCCTAATGTAAACTGTGGACTTTGGGTGATGATGATGAGTCGGTGTAGGTTCATCAATTGTAACAAATGTACCATTCTGGTGGGGGATATTGATAATGGGGGAGGCTCTGTGTGTGTGGGAGCAAGGGGTATTTGGGAAATCTCTGTATCTTCTGCTCCATCTTGCTGTGAATCTAAAATTGCTCTAATAAATAAAGTCTATTTTTTTAAAGATGTAGTGAGCTAGAGGAAAATTCACTGGGCAGAATTCCTTAGGGTAAAGTCTCCATAGTGTATGGGGGGGAAAAACACCTTTGAAAAGTGGCTGGAGTGGGACCCACCTGCCTGAGCTCCCTGTGGTGGGCATGCTCCTCAAACCCCTCACCCTGGTGGAGCGTGTCCTTGAGACTCAGGCCATCATTAGGTCGAGCCCACTCCAGCCCAGGAGAGAAAAGGGGCCTGGTCCCAGTGCTGGAACACAGCCCAGCGCATCCCTGCACCTGCGGGCTGTGCTAGGCCCGACGTGTCAGCTACAGGTTTCCCAGTAATGCGTACTGAGACTAGGGGTCACTGCTTCGAGAAACCGTCGTCCCTCCAAGGGGCTGTTTCCATCCAAGCCGGCTAAAGGACGGGTGAGACCAGGGCCCGGGGGAGCCCCTGCTTCCATGGGCGCTGATGGAGCTGGGCTGCTACCCAGCATTTCCTCACAAGGAACCTCCCCAGGGATAACGGGGACGCCAAATGCCTGTGGCCCCCAGGACATGATAGCAGAGCAAGCGCAGGAGGCCAAGGACGACTGTCAGCTGGTGGCAGAGTTTAGGGTGTTTGGCGCGCGTCGCAGCAGCAGAGCCCGCGGTCCACAGGCCAAAGCGCCCCCGCAGGGGCGGCTGAGCGCTCTCGTCCCTCCCACACCCTCTCCCTACAAAGCGGAGGGGCCCGCGGGCCGAGGTTGCCGCGCCGCAGAGACGGGTCAGGACCGACGGAGGAGCCCGCAGCCAAGGAGGAGGGCCTCGCCGGACGTGTCCTGTGCTTTCCGGGCAGCGTCCGGGCTGCCCCCGGGCGAGGCGGGGTAACCTGGCGCTGCCGCGCGGAGGTCTCAGGGGCTGAGTCTCACGGTCTGGACCCCCTTCCTGACCCGGGAAGGGGCGGAGGCTCCCCGCGGGCAGCCCGCCGTCGGAATGACACGGCGCTAACACGGGGCAGGAGTGGTGAGCCTCGGCGCCCTGTCCCTGCAGTCCTGGGGACTGCACGAGCCTGGCCGCCCGCCTGGCACCGCAGCCCTGGCGCCGGGATTCGCGCCCTTCTCAGGCCGGGTTCTCTTGCCCACCGGGATTTGCAGAAGACGCGCCCCCGCGGGGATCCTTGCTGTCAAGAATCTCTTTACGAAACAATGGGTGCTTAGTCAAGGTTGTTGGTGCTCATGTCTAAGCTGTACGGAGAATGAGAAGACCCTGCCCTGCAGAGCACCCACTCTGGACCCGGGCGGAGGGGCCCAGCCCGGCGCCGCGGCCAAGTGCGAACTGCGCTGTGTGAAAGCCCGGCCCCCGGAGCCGCTCTGGGGCTCCAAGAGCCGGTCTGCACCGCAAACTTAATTCAGAGCAACTCAAAGCGGATTTCACAATGAACCATGACGTTTCCAAAGGAACGTCATACCTCAGACTTCTGCCTTCTCTTCAACTGCCCCCAAATGAAAGATTGGCTGGTTTTGCAAGTTAAGACAGTTCACACGTGCATGGACTTAGGAAGCTCTCTCTGGTGTCCCCAGATTTCTAGTTAGCCCTGAGGTTTCTACTTAACAATCTCAGAAGCCAGTGGTCACCGTCAAGCCAGGCAGTATTCCATGCTGATGAAAATGAACCACCTGCAGTACTATTCATAGTTGATCCCGTCTGCCATATACAGCTTCCACACGCTCTCCTGCTCCAACAGCCGCTGGGGCAGGTGCCATTTGTAGATGATGAGATACGGTTTCCAGAAGCGCACCTGCCATACTTGGGCCAAGTGTCCAGTGACAACACAGAGCTAGTGGCCACTTCTGAGGTCCCACATCAAGAGTGAAGCAGTGGTAGCCCACTCGGCATCCACCTGCACTGCTCCACACTCGCCTGGTCCCAGTGGGGAACGTGCAGAGGACACCGACCCGGGACTGGAGCTTGCCCTTGGGCTCAGGACAGAGTGTACCAATGGATAAACCGCAAAGTGACAGCCTCGTGGCTGTGGGAGAGCATGCAGGGAGGAGTAGGAGAGGCCAGCCACCCCTTGACCAAGCACTGGGGGAGGGGAGGCTATAAGACCTGGAGGGACAATATTGGGGACTGTCTCTGTTGAGAATACCAGGAAGAATTTGTCAGGAACTCTAAGGGTGAACACTGGTGTCCAGCACCATATGAAGTTTTTGTAAATGTAAGCAGATTGCAGCTTCATATATATTATTAGTGCACATCCACTACTGGTAGAAAAACATGATACATCACACCATCTAATTTCCTCAGAGAGGATTAACCCATGATTCAAAATGTTGGTGGAACCTGCCAATAAAATCAAGGAGGCTTTATCAGTGTGGTGAGTTCCATTCCTAGCACGGATGAGTCTGTCTTTCCCAGTTTGCCTTTCCATAGGTTCTGCTGCACAAATTTCAATCCGCCAAAATAAACTATAACTTTAGGCTTCACAAATAGGATGAAAATAAAAAATTAAATCGAAGGTGACATATAACTGTCCTAGAGATTTGTCTTGGGCAG